CAGCCAAGGGAGGATTTCAAGGGAAGATTTACGGTCACAGACCTTATCTGGCTTGGAGAGCTGACAGGCTGGATATCTGCAAAACTTGGCAAGGAGTCTCGGAGAGTCACGAACCAATTAAGTGAACTAATTGTCTCCTGCAAACTCCACTCCCCTTTTGCTCCTCTTTTATTCCCTATGGGAGGGGCCATTCATCGTCCACCTGTGGCCTTACTCCCAAGTCGACCCCTGTTCTTTAGCTGTTCCCTTTGTCTGGCAACTCTGTGCATGCGCACACTGGGAGCAGGCTCCAGCTGTTCCTCTGCCTCACTGATGTCTGACTCTGAAGACAGCTGATAACTGTCAGAGGGCCCTGGCCTCCTCTCTGTCTCTGACACAGAGCCCTAATCAGACCCTTCCCCAGACTCCAGGACTGGCCCATGTTCCTCCCCAACCTCCTCACTGTCCGAATCTGCTGCCAGCTCCTCTACAACATTGTAGGACACCAAAGGCCAAGCAACGTGCTATAACCCCATATCCCTGAATTAAACGAATAGACACTAAGACCAAAGGACAGTCCAATAATAACCCAAAGTACAAGTTTTCAAGACATGAACGGAGAATTCAGTACAGGTAGTCCTCATTTTATGCCACAATTCAGACCAAAAATTCTGTCATTAAGTGAGACATTTGTTGAGTGAGTTTTGCCCCATGTTATGACTTTTTTACCACGTTCGTTAAGTGAATCACTACAGTTGGTAAGTTAGCAACACGGTTGTTAAGTGAATCTGGCTTCCCCGTTGACTTTGCTTGTTAGAGGGTCACAAAATATGAACCAGTTTCCAAGGGTCTGATTTTGATCACAAGATCATCGGAATGCTGCAGAGGTCGTAACTGTGAAAAAACAGTTATAACTCACTTTTTTTTCAGTGCCGTTGTAACTTTGAACAGTCACTGAATGAACTGTTGTAAGTCAAGGACTACCGTATTTTTCGGAGTATAAGACACACCGGAGTATAAGATGCATCAAGATTTTGAAGAGGCAAATTAAAAAAAAAAGTTTCTGCACTTTGCAGACCTCCCAAAAATGGCCTTCTTGTCAAAAAAAAAAAAAAAAGGCATGCATACCCTTTAGGAGACTTATAGAGTTCTCCTGGGGATTGGGGGGACAAAACCGAGCAAAAAACAGCCTATTTTCACTCATTTTTGCCCTCCCCAGCCCCCCGGAACACTCTGGAAGCCTCCAAAAGGCTTTGCACGGCCATTTTGGTGAAGGGGGCGGGGTTTCAGGAGGCCAAAAATGCTGTATTCAATGTATAAGACGCACCCAGATTTTCACCCTCTTTTTTGAGGAAAAAGGGTGCGTCTTATATTCTGAAAAATACGGTAGCTGTATTGCAGTATTAGGAATATTAATAAGTTATTCAGAGAGGCATCTTTAAAAAACACACAGAAAATCTAATTATTGTCTTCGTGGCCCAGAAAGAATGTTTGGGCTGAACCCTCATAGTACCTCCAGAAGTTTCTACCAGAACAGTAGTTTCTGTTCTAGTAGAACAAGGTTGAAGTAGGCTTCTACTCCAACCTTGGCAAGTTTAAGACTTGTGGACTTCAATTCCCAGAATTTGTCAGCCAAACGTATATCACGGTGGATCTGATCTAAATCAAGTCACTTTAAATCACGATTTAAATTACTAGTAAAAAAAGACTTGATTTAAACCAATTCAATTTAAATCATAATTTTTAAAGAGCAGCTGTCATCTCTGTCCCGCAGCGGCTCCTCCTCTGACCCGCTGTTGACTCACTGACGGTCCCAATATTGCAGAATATACAGCCTCTCATGATACATAACTAAGCTCCATTTCATGCTGAATAAACTACATTATTAATGGATCGTAAAATAGAAAACTATAATTAGATATATATATTTTTTACTCCAAAAGCATTTTATTAAAATAAATTGGATAAAAATTTTAAAAATACAATTTAAAATATTTTTAAATCTGATTTAAAAAAAAAAAATATTTTAAAAATCATTGTTTTTTATCCACCCTGATCCTGATACATCTTCCAAACCATGCATATCTGCTGGGGATCTGCAACACACATTTCCACCAGAGATTTCGGTGGCCTGGGCAAGGAGCAGCATTTTAAAAATTAGGACCTGGAACCACTCCTGTCCTTTCCCCCACATCTTCTCCAAAAGCCACACTCTGAAACACTCACGCAAATGGGCTGGAAGCCTGAGGGTCTCGTCCTCCATCCTGATGGTTCGATGCAGTGGGACATGGAGAGGTGACGAGGAAGGATAATCGTCTACTGGGCTCACAGGCGGGGTATACGAAATCCTTTCCTGCTGTAAAAGGGAAGAGAAAACAACGTGAATTTGGGGCAGCAAACTAGGAGAAATGAAACAAATCCTATCTGAAAGAAGTAGAAATCTGCATCATATTTGTAGCAGCTTCCAGAAAGAAGTAGTGAGTCTTTGGGCAGGACATGGTAGAATCAGCCTCTTCTGACCGAGGCTTCCCAAGAGCATGATGCAAACTCCTTGTCCCGACAAAAAACCCTTTTATTAATTGACTGTGAATTCTGCTCATTCACATCCAGCAAAGTCTTTCAAGGGAGGATTTACAGTCACAGACCTTATCTGGCTTGGAGAGCTGCCCGGCCGATATCTGCAAAACTTGGCAAGGAGTCTCAGAGAGTCACCAACCAATGAAGCGAACTAATTGTCTCCTGCAAACTCCACTCCCCTTTCGCTCCTCTTTTATTTCCTCTGGGAGGGGCCATTCATCGTCCACCTGTGGCCTTACTCCCTGTTCTTTAGCTGTTCCCTTCTCTGGCAACTCTGTGCATGCGCACGCTGGGAACAGGCTCCAGCTGTTTGTCTGCCTCATTGATGTCTGACTCTGATGGCCACTGATATCTGGATTATGGCTCTGGCCCCCTCTCTGCCTCCGACACAGAGCCCTCATCAGAGCCTTCCAGAGACTCCAGGACCGGCCCATGTTCCTCCCCAACCTCCTCACTGTCCAAATCTGCTGCCAGCTCTGCAGATCACAACACAGCCTTCAAAACATTCCCTTTCTCTCTTTCTGACTATGCCTCCTAAGTTCATTTTTTTTCTTGGTTCCTAAAGGGCTCCACACCTTAAGTTACGTCTGATTTGAGTTATGCTGTAGGAAGCCGAGCATCGGTTTTCGGATAGCATTCCAATCGGCGACAAATAGGTTCTGCTTGCCATTCATGTTCAGATATGGCAATTTACAAGCCTGCTGTTAGGTTCTGATAGAAAGATGCATGTAAAAGAGACAAGCAGATTCTTATCAGTGGGAAAGCAGGAAGGAAGGCAAACAGAAAGGCAGGAAGACAGGAAAACAGACAGGAAGATAGGAAGGCAGGAAGGAAGGGAGGAAAACAGGAAGGCAGGAAGGAAGGGAGGGAAACAGAAGGGCAGGAAAACAGGAAAGCAGGAAGGAAGGCAGGGAGGGAGGCTGACCTATGTGTTTATGGAAGGGAACAGAGAGATATTCCTTCCTGAAATGACAATTTAAATTGATCCACATTTTATAGCCAATCCAAGATTAAAACTTAACCAGAATAACATAACTCATTATTTCAGAACTCATCAGAATAAATTATTGTTTCGTGCAGAGGTACGGAACTTGTAGCCCTTGAGGATTTCCAAAAATACTTCTCAAAATGTACTACTTAAAGGAATAGAAGAAAAACATTAAATAAAGCGCTGGAGGACCGTATTATTCACGTTTATTTTTGATCCATTCTATTATAAATGAGATGGAATTAAACAGAGGTTTCTTCTGATTCCACCAAATATTTCAGAGATCATCCCCTGCTCCCCCCAACAACCATATGTTCCCCCCCCCTCCCAAAATCTGGAAAAGGCCTGGTTTTAGGGACAGCTTAAGTAATCTTTTTTTGTCGAGAAACTGTCTTGTAGAGCAAATTAGGTGCTTGCTTCTTTAACCACAATTGGCCAGGTTCACACATTACACTAGGATCAAACTATACAGAAATTATGGCTGACACAATAGGGTAACCCAGTTGCAACATCATCTATAAACTTTCAAGTGGGAAAACTAGCAGCTCTAAATGAAAAATACCTGGCAGAAAAATTCAACCACCCCAAAAGGAAGGTGGTTAATTTATAGAGATAACTGGAGTACAATACATTTTTAAAAAAAGCAGAATTATTTCTCTATTTGTAAAATGTTGGCATATTTTCCTGAAACTTTGTTAAGCATTTTGTGAGATTACTGCAATGCGCTCTACATGGGGCAGCCATTGAAGAGCATTCGGAGACTCCAGCTCGTCCAGAATGCAGCCGCGTGAGGGATCGTGGGTGCACCTCGGTACACCCACGTTACACCTATCCTCCACGAGCTGCACTGGTTACCGATCGGTCTCCGGATA